CTCTTGGGGGAATACTTCATTTGTTTTTGTAACTGATGCTCTTGTTCACCAAAAAAAAAAAAAAAAACAATACAGATTACAAATTAGGTGAGGAAAGCACAGAGGGAATATTGCATGCAGACATAGTGTTCTGCTGCAGTTGTCTTTACAATTCACTATTTCAAATATCATCATTAAATATCATTATAGTGGTGTTCTTCTTTCACTGGAGAACAGCGTCACTGAGAAGGTGGTCATTAAGCCAATAGAGAATGAGAGTACAATGGTGAACCCACTAATCTCGGCGTGTAGAGGCTGGAAAGCTTGTGGAGTGTAACTCCTATTATTCACAGACAGACATTGCCTCACTGTGCAGCATCTTGATTACAGGTGTCTTACTTCAAACGATTTACATCATAGTTTGTTTATACACTTAAAACATGGACCCAATGGATATGGTCTTAAAGGGACACTCTAGGCACCCAGACCACTTATGCCCATTGGAGTGGTCTGGGTGCCAACTCCCATCACCCTTAAACCTGCAAGTGTAATTATTGCAGTAATTATAAACTGCAATAATTACCTTGCAGGGTTAAGTCCTCCTCTAGTGGCTGTCAGACAGCCACTAGAGGGACTTCCGGGTTCTTAAACAACTTTTTGGTCGCTTAAACGACGATGGACGTCCTCACGCTATGCAAGACGACCTCCAGCAACGCCGGAATCCTCATAGAAAAGCATTGAATAATGCTTTCCTATGGGGAGGTCTAATGTGCAAGTGTCTCCCCCGCTGGCGGGTGTAAGTGGGGGATGAGCGTGGGCAGAGCCTGACCCAGCACCGAGGGACATTGGTGCTGGATTCAGGTAAGTGTCTGAAGGGGTTTTAACCCCTTCAGCAACATGGGATAGGGGGCAGAAGGTAGGGGGGCACTGTAGGATTCTCTAGTGCCAGGAAAACGGGTTTGTTTTCCTTGCACTGGAGAATCCCTTTAAGTCTCTGGGTTCTTAACAATATTCCCTCAGGCAGTTTTCAAAATGGTGTTATAATGCCACAGAATTACTGCAGTATGAGTGCAACATATATTGCTTTTATCAGTTAAAAAACAATATAAGCATATCAGTACATTAATCATTTTTCTAGAGTAGAGCTATTTATCTGATATGAAATACATAGGTAATGTCTGGAGGGCTCATTGCTTGCTCTGCTGAATGGATAGAAGTTGCAAAGCCAGCATCTGTAATCCAGATTTTGGAAAAGGTACAGCGTGGGAGTTACTAGTGGCTGACAAAGCAGGCTCCTCCCTAGGTCAAGGTCCTAAACCCAGGTCTTCAGAGCTGTCCCCCTCCTTCAGAATTTGGGGTAATCCAGAAGGCAGCAGCAGAGAAAAGGGGGTAATTCCACTTTAAAAAGGTCAAATCTGTACAGAGCCAGATAGAGAATGGTGGTTTACCCAGAGATCTTGTAATAATTGTTTCAGGCCTGGAGCCTCTGGGTGAAAACCAGTAGCCAAGAATGCATAACATGCCCTAAGGCTATTCTAATGAAAAGCAGTGAGAGGCAGCAGAGATGACTGATCTGGGGGAATAGATCCCATTCTAATTCCTCTATACCAAACCCCTTAAGTAGACATACAAGATTTTGAGATTAGGGGACATGACAATTTATAGTCAATACAATAGTAAAAACATGGAATAGATTACCTCCCCTCATTTCAAGGGGTTAAATACAACATAAAGGCTTCTTTATACACCAGTCTGTACTACTTCGCATCCACTGCTTAAAGAGTAACTGTCACTTTTTCATTTTTAGCAAAACCAAATAACTAACTAAAAGGTGCTTAAAGTTTTTTTTTTTTTTTTAATGTATATTCTATCATTGTAGTTTAACGTATATACTTTGCTGGCCAAGGATGTGCTAAGTATGTAAACTAGTTAACTCTTGCAATTCAGAACATATGGGAGCTTGGACTCTAGCGCATATATATTAGAACAGGTAGGCAGCCACTACACTCAAACCAGAGTCTCTCAATCCAGTCCAATAAAAAGTGCAAACAGATGAGAAGAGAAGGTAGTGCCTTGATGTACTTCTTGCATTCACAATTCGTAGACCATTACCATTTGCATAATTGCTGCTCAGCACAACTTTTCCTGTCAGGACAGTAATGTTGATCGGCACAACTTTTACCGTCAGAACAGTAAATGTCATTAATCACATTTTTATATGAAGATGAATACGTGACATTACCCCCAACTGAAGAACGCCCCCGGGCGGGCAGGACCATGCTTGAGAGGAAACTGGGCGTGAAAATAGCGAATCTTGCGGCCAGCATGTTTATCAGATGCCGGAACCCAAGAACGAACGGCTGGTCCATAACCTTTCCAATCCACCAAGTATTGTAAAGTGCCCTGAGAAAACCTGGAATCAATTATGGAAGAGACCTCATACTCTTCTTGTCCAGAAACAACTAAGGGAGGAGGAGGGACACTTGAGACAGTATATTTATTGCAAACAAGAGGTTTGAGTAGCGACACATGAAATGTATTTGGAATACTTAATGAGGCCGGGAGGGCCAGAGAATATGACACAGGGTTAATCCTCCAAAGGATATGAAAGGGGCCCAGGAATCTGGGTGCAAACTTCATAATAGGAACTTTCAAATTGATGTTGCGGGATGATAACCATACCCTGTCACCCACTTGGTAAACGGGGTTGGCACCTCGCCGTTTATACGCATAGAACTTGAAGCGATCAGCCGCAGTTTTTAGAGAAAAATGAACTTTGATCCAAGTATCATGGATAGAAGAATGGCGATCATCCAAAGCAGGGATAGTTGTCTCAGAGAAAACAGCCAGCAGGACAGTAGGATGACGACCGTTATTAACAAAGAATGGGCTGTGACCAGGAGAGTCATGGGTAGCATTGTTCCTAGCAAACTCGGCCCAGGGTAGTAATTTGGACCAATTATCTTGAGTGCTATTTACAAAACAATGCAGATATAACTCGAATCACTGGTTAGCCTTCTCAGCTGTGCCATTAGTTTGGGGATGGTAAGCGGAAGAAAAAGACAATTCAATGCCCAACTGTTTACTGAACACCCTCCAAAACCGAGGCACAAACGGAGAGCCCCTATCAGACACAATATTGTGAGGAATGCCATGCAGTCAGACAATCTCACATATAAAGATAAGAACCAGATCTTGAGAGGATGGCAATTTTTTAAGTGGAATAAAATGAACCATCTTGGAGAAACGGTCATTGGAACTTGGAAGTTCAACGATAGTCCATTGACAAGTGGGACCATGGAACACTAGGTATAGGAAGTGGTTGCAACAACCCACAAGGAAGCTTATGAGGGACCTTAGAAACAGCACAAACTGAACAAGCCTGCACATATCCTTCACATCGTTTTTAAGGGAATCCCACCAAAATGATCTTGTGATCGCAGATATGGATTTATTGATACCTGGGTGTCCAGCAGTCACATTGTCATGGAACACCATCAGCACATTCTTTCTTTCACCGAATGGAACAAACAATTTGTCTAGTGGTTTATTGCATGGTGCCTGAGACTGAGCCTCCATTATAGCACCAAGCAAGGGAGAAGACAGTGAAAGAACAGTAGAAGTGATGATACATTCAGGAGGCACGATAGGGGATGTCACGTGTTCCTGTAAAGACTCAGTATCAAACTGTCTAGACAAGGGGGTTTGAGGTGTAATACACACTTCCCATTGCAATCCTTTCCCCATTCCAATATTTCCCCATTAGCCCAGTCGATATGAGGGTTGTGCTTACTAAGCCAAGGGAAGCCTAATATGATAGGGCAAGAAGGAGGTGCAATAACTTGGCATATTATATCTTCCTTATATAAGGCACCAATAGACATGTTAATGGGAAAGGTTTCATGGGTAATTAAGGGTTGAGAGAGTGGTCTCCCGCCAATAGCCTCAACGGCTAGAGGTGATATTCTCTCCTTGATAGGTATAGCATTCTTTTTAACAAAATGAACATCAATGAAATTTCCTGCTGCACCTGAGTCCATCAGGGCCTTGCATGAAAAGTTAATTTTGTTAACTATGATTGTAATATCAAGGAGAAATCTATTTATGTTATTCCCAGAGGACGTATCCATTACACCTAAGACCTATCCCCTTAAGGTTCTTAGGTGTGGTAGTTTTCTGGACATATGGGACAAGTACTCCTCATATGTAATTTTTTACCACAGTATATGCATAGATGCTCTCTTCTCCTATGTTGTCTTTCTGCCTCGGACAGTCTAGTGACCCCCAACTGCAGATGTCAGGAACAACTGGTCTGGAGAAATGAGGTGCTAATGGCAAAGCCATACATCTGGTTTTATTTCTGGTTCTGAGTCTATTATCAATTAGCATAATAAACGTAATAAACTCATTGAGTTTTTTGGGTAGTTCTTTGGCAGCAATCTCATCCAACATAGTCTAAGATAATCCTTTCTTAAATGCTGAGATTAATCCGCTGTTAGTCCAGTCTACCTCGGAAGCCAAGGTGCGAAATTCTGTGGTATACTATAACAGTCTGGCACAGAGTCCAGGAAATCAGTCAGTAGCGAAGCAGAGATCTGGCAGGAAACACCAAACAGACTAAATGACCAGATACTAGGTTTCAGGCAGGGCTGGCTTTTACAGCTTGCTAATTAGATGCAGCTGACCCTAATTGGAAAAGGGTTGCAGGTGGATCAGTACTGCTCATTCCAGGCCAGGGGTCAGGAAGCAGAATAATGCAAACAGAAACTCCCTCCCTGGTGGATTTCATGGCAGAGAACCTGACTGGGATGCTGGAGCTGTGAGTTCAAAGCCAGCCAGGTCTCTTAAAAGGGCAGTCACACTTTGTGATCTGCAGGGCTTGGGCTGTGCCATGACAGAGCCCCCCACAAGGAGCAAACAGACATGGCATCAACTAGTCCAGTTCAGGTTCAGGCAGGAAATCCAGGTCTGTATAGGCATCAAAATCTGAGAGTGTTCCGAGAGGAACATTTTGCAGGTTGTTATTCTTCGAGGAAGCAGTGGAGGCGAGAAGGGGATGCAGCTCTGGCCTTAAGAGCCTGTTCAATGACCTTTAGATCTTGCCTGCGGACCACGGTTCCATTGGAGGCAATTACACAGTCTGGGGACAGATCCTCTGTGTTGGAGCAGGAAACTTTAGGGGAGACAGAAGCTGAGGATTGGAAGGTAGCCACAGTAGCCTCCTTTTGAGGCTCTGGAACAGAAGCAGGGTTAGCTGGGACCATGATGGTGCCATTGGTCTGGTTAGGTGGTCTTTTCGGTCCAGTAGCTGGCAGAGTTGAACAAAAAAGGGGCCATGATGGACTTGCTGGATGCTGATACAGAGCCCCCACATGGCTATGTTTAGGGTGAGGAGGACGTATCGGGCAATAGCTGATAGTGGCCTCCCTTGCCACAATAGAAGCAAAGGCCTTTGGCTCTCCTTCTGGCCTTTTCAGTTACTGTGAGCATGGTATTTAGTGCTCCAATCTGCATGGGTTCCTCTATGTCAATGGTGGGGATAGGGGTATAGGTCGCACCAGCAGGTTGGGAGTGATGATTGGGCAGAGGGTTCGTTTCAAATCGCTCCTGCCTTATTTCTCTGAACCGGAGATCCAGCTGGGTGGCTAGCACCATTTTTCCAGGGAGGTTGGAACTCCCACTCATGCCAGTTCATCCTTAAGGGTTTCACTTAATTCAAGGCTTAATTGGTCCACTTCATTGAGTCCAGTGTCTGATGACAAGCCACGGAACTCTGTGATGTAATTTTTCACAGGACGGTTTCCTTGTTTAAGGGAACGGAGAGAAGTCCTGGCTGTGGAGGCACGGAAGGGATCCTCATACAAGGAGGTCAAGGCTGTAGCAAAGGATTCCCAGGTGTCCAGTACAGGGCTTTTGGCATACAGCTGTTGATGAGCTCAGGTCTTGGGTTGCCCGGATAACAGGGTGATGACAGTTCTTACTTTAACAAAATCTGTGGCATAGGAACAGGGTTTAAGTACAAACAGGATTTCACGGTCTGTGATAAAGGAGCGGAAGGAAGTCCTGCAACCAGTGAATCTTTAAGGCAATGCAATATCAGGTTGAGGAGCATGGTGTGTGTTCCCCTTTAAATCAGCATAGCCACGCTGCAATTCCCTTACAGTTTGAGACAGGAGGGTCACTTGCTGTGTGAGGGTACTCATCATCTCCGCAGGCTCCATGGTAGTCGATCTGGTCATTATGTAACAGTCACCTGGGGACTTATGTAACAGTTTACCAGGAGTTGGAGCCCAGTTGCAGGAGATGGCACAGGAAGGAGGCAAAAACCAGAAGCGCAGTACAGATTAAGGGGAAATCCAAAGACAGGGTCAGACGAGAAGCAGAAGTCAGGGCTGGCAGCAGAGTAACGAAGTCGGTAAAGCAGGCAGAGGTCAGAGTCCAGGAAATCAGTAGCGAAGCAGAGATCCATCAGGAAACACCAAACAGGCAAAATGACCAGATACTAGGTTTCAGGCAGGGCTGGCTTTTACAGCCTGCTAATTAGATGTAGCTGACCCTAATTGGAAAAGGGTTGCAGGTGGATCAGTACTGCTCATTCCAGGCCAGGGGTCAGGAAGCAGAATAATGAAAACAGAAACTGAAGCCCCCTGGTGGACATCATGGTAGAGAACCTGACTGGGAGACTTGAGCTGTGAGTTCAAACCCAGTCAGGTTTGAGGGGCAGTCATGCCTTGTGGTCTGCAGGGTTCAGGTTGTGCCATGACACATACTCCAAAATAGACTGGTTCCCTTGCCTAATATACATTAGGGCAGTGGAGGCATCATCCTCCTACTATTCTCCCATAATGGATTGGCCCAAGCTAAAGCTTTACCTTTAAGTTGGTTCATCAGGTAACCGATTTTAGCTCTGTCAGTGGAAAAAGATCCCGGTGAGGCCTCAAAATGATACTCAATTTGGTTAATGAATCCCCGGCATTCTTGAATATTACCATCGAAAGCAAGGGAGGAGATAGGGAGATAGTAGGTACCTTATGTACTACAGGAGGTACATTAGGCGGAGGTGACACAGTTGGAGAAGCCGCTGGTTGCAGATGCGCTGTTCGAGTAAGGAGCGTACTGCAAAGCCTGGGCAAACTGATCCTTACAGTGATCATTCTCCACTAGCTTTCTCTCACAAGCAGCTATGTGTTGACACAATTCTACAGGATCTATGAACATGTCATAATGTCAGGATTACTAGTTGATCCAGCACATAGAATTGTGTCACACAGATGACTAATAGGTAACGTATTATGGGGCCTTAGAATGGCCGTACTTAACGTACCAAAGAGTAGTCAGGATACTTGCCAAGGTCAGGGGATACAGAAAGAGACACAACGATAAGGGAAAGCCAGAAGTCAGGGATACCAGAATACAGGGAAGTCAAGATCAAAGTCAAAAACCAGAAGAAACTTGAATCAGGAATGCGCTCTAGGACAATCACTAGGGAAATCACGACAGGGCACTGTGCTGGATGAGAAATGGTCCTAAATACCCCTCCCCTGGATCTGATAGGCTGTAATCGGCCTTTGACCCCAAAGGCAGTTGCCAGGTTTCCATTTGCATAATTGCTTCTCAGCACAACTTTTCCTGTCAGGACAGTAATGTTGCTCGGCACAACTTTTCCTGTCAGAACAGTAAATGTCATTATATATGCGGATGAATACGTGACACCTTTCGACACTTTAACTAATGCCCTGAGGCTCCGAGAACTGCGGTGGCAGGCTGCAGTCTACTGGAGACTGAGTGGAGGGGAGGTGGCTTCTTTCCTCCCTCTGTATCAAACATAGCTAGACCAGAAACTCTTTCTATCCTGTTCCCCTCTGGAGAGTAGTCGGCTATACCAACTTAGCTCTACACTTAAACAGAGCAGATATTGCATCGGACAACAACATCCCAAGATGGCGGATACCGCGTGCACAAACGCCCATGGCGCGAATGCAACCAAGAGGGCATATAGTGACTCCACTGCCTATTTCCTGTGGCGGCTAGACCAGATATTACAAAACTTCTGTGTGAACATACAAGCACGTAAAACGGACACCACAACCCACGAGTCTGTTTCGTGGATGGGAAACCAGAGAAAGGAACAGCCACGCACGGGGAAGCCTCCTCAGAGCGCAAGATCTACAACAAGGATTTCATGACCCCAAGACCCCCTGAAGGGGATAGATTTGGTCCCTCAACTAACCCAAGTCTGTAGTACGAAGATGCCGGTCCTCTTCCAGGCCTAGGGTGAGGAGGCACCCCGCTCCGGAGCAACACATGCCCAGGCGAGGTACCAGCTATGCCACTTAGAGGAAATGGCTGAACTTGCTCTAGGGTGCCATCTGAGCATACTCCCTCTCCGACAACAAGAGAAGCAATATATATGTTTTAAATACTAAGCACTAATTTTTCTTTATTTTGTCTTGTGATTTTCATTTTCCTTTCTCTGCATTTATCTCTCTCTACACTAAATGACCTACTGTTGATGCGGTAAAGTAACATACTGATAACACTATTTATTTTGTCTTATGATTTTCATTTTCCTTTCACTGCTTTTATCTCTCTCTACACTATATGACCTACTATAGATGCAGTAAAGTAACATACCAATAACATTTCCAGACGTACAATATAAGCGACTCCAATCCTAGCCTGAATATTAAATTAACTATGCTCTTTGTTAAATGTACTATAGGCAAGATCTTTATGCAGTGGGGAGTTGGTGTACCCCTCTCCCCCCCTCGAATAGCTGGGTGTGTTTGTACCTGTAAGATTCCTAGACTTGTCTATACAATGTTATACCACTGTACATGTTTCTGTGTCAGTACGTATATCCTGTTTATCTACCCTCCTGTTACACTAATATAATATTCCTATACACTAATCACCTTGTCTTGCGGCGCTCCTTAGTCTAAGTGTCAGACTAGCTCGGCAGTTAGCTAAGTATATTTAACACAAGCATCTTCTTAGAATGACATTTAATCTCAGTGGAAAGCCATAGAACTGAGACAAAAATCCCTCATACACATGCTTCCTATACCACAAGTTCTGCAATGTGTGTCCTTTTGTCGAGAGTTTGGACAGTCCAAAATGGCTGAGGAACCTGGGTGTGATGATCCACAGAAAAATAGGTGAAAAAGTAATCCAAATATAAACAAAGAATAAATTAAACAAAAAAGCAAAATAGACCAAAAATAAGAAATGAGGAAAATGCACCAGCATTAATAAAATATTTGAAACATCCAAAAGATGTTGTTTAGTTCCTGTGTGTACACACTATAGAGACCACTTGTAATACCGCATGCGCCCTCGGGGTGCTTCTCCTAGCGGTGGATGCGTCCATGTAACTCTGTGTCCTCACGCTTCTGGAATGACGTATTAACATTACTCCATCTATGCTTTAAAGATCACTATATGGTCAGGAACACACAATCTAGCCCCCCTGGCCCCTTAATGCATCCATAAATATAGTAAAAATCTTACTGTATTCAAGCCTGACGCTGTAAATCTGCATGCTGTTAGACTCAGAAAAACAAGCAGTCTGCGGACATGTGATAGCCTGATCCAATCACAGTGCTTTCCTATAGGATTGGCTGAGACTGACAAAGAGGCAGATCAGGGGCAGAGCCAGCATGATTCAAACACAGCCTTGGTCAATCAGCATCTCCTCATAGAGATGAATTGAATCAATGAATCTCTATGAGGAAAGTTCAGTGTCTGTATGCAGAGGGAGGAGATACTGAATCACAGGATGCTGTGCACAGTGCTGCCCTGTGCTCTGCTGACAGCAGATCTGTGTGGATAGAGGCATATTATGCCTCCATCAACTCCGAAGTCCCTCTGGTTCACTCTGAGTGACTGCAACTGGAGGTGTTCCTAGCTTTCAATGTAAACACTGTATTTTCATGAGAAAGGCTGCAGGGAGCTATAGTTCTCACCTGAACAACCTCATTAAGCTGAAGTTGCTCAGCTGACTATAGTGTCCCTTTAAAGCAACCTTCAATAACTTTATTCACAGTACCAGTGTTATTTCTTAACATGCACATAATATGCCATCATTACAGGATACTACCTGATACCAGGATAAAAAGGGGGAATGAAGTCCTAAAAAGGCAATGAATGGAATAGTAACTTATATACAGAAAATAGAGTATTAACATTCTTATTGTATATGTCTGCTGCAATTAAACTTAGCTAAGTGTTATAGAAATAATGTCAACCTTACATAATGGGATATTTGGTAAATCTAACCTACCCACATTCAATTCAAGTCCTCACAATATATGAAAGAGATTTAAAAAAAATTAGAAGAATAAAATGAAAAAAATGAAATGAAAGAATGAAGAAAACAGATGACATGAGTCATATATTGAATACATCAAAAAGATGACAGAAAAAAAGGGAATATATTCACTCCTGTTATATAGAGATCACATTGTTAGTTAATAAGATATCCACGCTTCAATCATACCTAATGTTGAACAGGGATTGAAGCCATTGCAGTAGGTAATAAAGGAGAATCTGATGAGATATCCCCTATAATTAATGATAAAACAGAATGCAATGTGTGAAATGTATATGGTGTCTCACAGTGGGGACCACACATCTTGTCAAGTAGCAGACCATAA